CGTCCTCTCCTGAGGAAGCTCGGTAGTCGCCCATCAGTGATAATTCTGACAACGCAACTCGCGGCTCGCTTTTTGTATAGACGTCTAGCCCTTTCCTTAGTTCTGCCGAGCTCTTCTCGTTAGAGAGCGCGGCCTGCTTGCGGTGCGGCTGTGAAACCCTGGCCATGGCACTCAAGTGGTTACGTTTCCTCTGCTTTGCTTTGGTTTTATCTGTTGAGGATAAAATATGCTTGGCAATGCGAAGGTGTGCTGCCTGGCTCTGGAGGCGGGAGCCTGGGCATTCCCAAGCAGCTGCTTTCTCACGCCTGTAAAATTTCCGCTGTGGCCGCCAGACTGGCTGACGAGACCCCGGGACCACTGACGAGTGGAGCTGCTGCCGCACTGCTCATGGAACAAGGACCGGTCCCACCGGGCATGGAGTTAACATGGAAACATTAGTAGTCATGGCTGGAGGGAAGTAATAATTTTAAACGTTTTGTGACACTTTGCAGTGTGAAACAGGAAAAGATGTATCGTTACTGTATCCTGGGTACACTTTATAAAGATACAAATCCTAGTAATTATTACTCAGATTAGCTTAACTTCAAGGAATACCGGTGTTCCTTCCTCATAGCTTTCCTGTATTGACATATTTTCAAAAACAAATTCAGCTACAGACTCCTATACAAGAACATTTCCTTGAGCAGCTGACTTTGGTTGACATCAGTAAGATCACTGTGGTGTAGAAGCATCAGTATGCAAACCTGATTTATGGTTATTACATCTGAAGGTGTATTTTTCCTCTGAAGAGTAACTTTTGGGGCTTGAAAAGAGGTGCTGGCGTGGCTTTGTTTCAGACTGAAGGCTCAATCTGTTCCCCTCAGAGGCACCGATAGGGATCAAAAACATCTGCTGCTTCATTTGTTTTATTGTTGGATCTTGTTTCAGTTCTCTGAGATGAGAAATCAAGATTTTAGTTTTTTTAATAGTTTGCTCTGGGTTTTTTTTTTTGCCTTTTGAGAAGTGCAAAGTGCCCTGCTGGGAATAGTGACATCTACGTGAACCACAGCAGCAGCGTGGGTGGGTTGCAGTTGAGGTTGTAAGATGCCTTGGAGAGAGAGTGCCTTGTGTGCTGCCTCTGATCTGTTCTGGATGCCTCTTGGGAGTGCTGGGAGAGACTCGGGGGAGTGCTGGGAGACCTCGCGAGGATGGATACCGTTGCAGTCAGCCATACATCGCTCTGGCAGCTGCTGCAGTTCGATCCACAGTTGAAATCCCAGGACTGTCATATTGGGGATGAATTTTACATCACTGCAGCCCGGTTCAGGAAGACACTCAAATATAGGGGTTGCTTTTAAACTTCAGGCAAGCTTTGGCACTTGCTTTAAGGTAATTGTCCTGACCCAGGGCGTAAGGTTAGAGCTGAGTTCTTGGCTGAGTGGTAGAGGTAAACTTAGCTGGGGAGAAGGAGCTGCGTGTGCTGGTGTGGGGAACACACAGCATCCCATGGCAGTCCCAGTTCCCAAGACTGTCCCAGTAATTCTCTTTTCTCCAACATTTTTTTTTTTAATGATTCCTCCCTTTTGTGATTCAATAATGTGATTTTGTACTTTAAAGTAAAAAAGTGAAACTACTCAGTAGCTATGTTTCCAGAGTGTAGGTTTGAGAAAAATGAGTAAGGCTGCATTGCATCCTTAAACATTCAATGAAAATACGAATGCTCTGGAGAACACGGTAGGCTGGACAAAGCCCAGATTGTGCTGCGCTGCTGCTCCCTCGTTTTATTCTTTTAGGGCTTTGTACTTCCAACAAGAAATAAATGTGTGTTTCACAGGGATGTCATTATCAAAATAAGCATATAAAGGTTCTTTGCAAGTAAATGCTTTAAAAAAACTGCTACTGTACCCATATAAGATCACTCAAGCTATCTTGAGTGTCACTAAACTATATAGAATCACACACTCCAGTATACACATATGTGTTCGGGGGAGAATTGGAAAATTGAAACCTGTGTTGTCTGCTAATGAACAGAACCGTCCTTCCGTAGTGTAAGAGGAAAACAAGCCGCTGCGGCCAGCACTGAACCATAAATCTGAAGGTTTTCTGTTTTGTTCATAGTTCATATTAAAAAAATTTTTGAAGAAACTGAATGGTAACTGCGCCTTTATATTTTCCATGAAATCTTTTTTTTTTTTTTAAAAAAAAAGGTATGATTTTGTCCTAAATGAAAGACTTCTGTAATAGCTTAAATCAAAACGTTGCTACTCCGAATTTCTTCTTACATAGCTTTTACACTTCCATGTGACCTTAGTAGTCAAAAGTGCCTTTCTGGTTTTATCTAGCCAAGTCACTATGTCAATTTATTTTTGATGTTGACCTCACTACAATTAGTCATCACTGAAGCTACAAAATGTAGTAAGTTGGATGATACAGCAAACATGAGCCAGATCCTCAGATCTTTTGGTCTGTTACTCTATTTCTACACTTCCCTTAGTGGGCAACAGTCCTGGTCTAGGTTACAAGATTATAATGTTACTGGGTTTCTCTAGTAAACTCCATTATAACATTATAATGTGCTGCTTCTCTGATACTTCATTTTGTCTCCAGAGCAGTGAACCTCTAGTGAGAAATTTGCAAGCTGCAAAATGCTTCTTAATCCTGAATGATGATGAATTTTTGCCTCCTGCCTTCTCCAGGATGCACCAGCAGAGCACTGCCCAGGTCTGCTGGGAGTGACCCGCGGGTAAGACCATCCTGGAGGCACCGGCTTCGAGGGTGGTAGCGTAACTGAGAGAAGTGGAGAGAGCTGAGCCTGGGCTGAACACACCATGGGAGCAAACGCCTCCAGCAAGTCGCCACCCTTCGATGAAAACGAAGATGGTAAGAGCTTTTCCTAGTTGTTGTCTGGGACTGCAAAGTCCGCCAGTGCAGAGGCTGTGACTCTGAGAGTTGCCGCCAGGTCCTGTGCTGGGGTTGCAAACACTCAGACATCTTCATTAAGTAAAGGTGTGTCGAGGTCTGCGGCAGCAGCATGCCCTTGGTCTCCTGCAGAGCTGTGGTCAGGTGTCAGGTCGTCCTTTCACCTCCCCTCTCCGTGGCTGGGCACCGGGAGAATAACTGTTGGCAGAGGTTTGGTTCTGAGATGTCTCTGGGACGCTGCGAGGCGCTTCAAAGGCAGGGAAGAAATGCTGCTCTTCTGGAGGCAGCGGAGGTTTGTTCTGGAGATCACAGCACAAGGAGGACTGGTATGAAGTGTGGTGGGACGGTAGCTTGAGCAGTGTGTGTTCCCATCCCTGCTTTGGGCTTGGTGGGAGGGCCACCAAGAAAGACCTGGTCATCATCATCATCAGAGGTGGAGGTTCCTGGTGACTGCCCAGGCGGGCAGCTCTACCCGTTGGCCCTGGAAGACCGGCATGTGGATTTGGTCTGCTGGAAAAGGCAAATACATTGCTGAGAACAGTATTGGAGGCCAGTGTCACTATGCTGCCAAGATTACAGAGGCAGTCATTAAAAGCTTGTGCCATAAATATATTTCCCGTTGCATGAGTCAGCTTGATAACTGCCATATGGGCTTTCATCTAGGTGCAATAGTAAAATGAATATGTAGATAAATACAAATACACAGAAATAAAAGTAAAATATACGAGAACCTAGATAACTCATAAACTGCTGTCCCAAAGATAAGAGGACATAATCCTGATTACTGAGGACGTCAGGGGAAAAGGAAGGGACGTTGGCCAAAACCTGGTCTTCCTCATTCAGCTCCTTGAGAAAAGAGGTCTTGAGGAGGAACACGCTTTCCTTCTGGAAATGCAGTGATTATATCCCAAGTCGTGCCATTAGTGCTCGTGGCATGAAAGCCTTCTGCCCCAGGCTGTGGCCGTCCCGTTGTTCAGTCTCCGTGCGCAGCTGCTAATGCACGTGGCTGCTTGCGAAAGGGAAAAATCATTCTGCGCAGCAGCGTGTTCCCCTTGCTGTCCTGAACCATCCTGCTGTGATCTGGCCCTTCTCTGTGTGCCTCCGTTTGTCGTCCCGCACAGAAGGTTTTGCACTTTGAGGTCTGCGTTTGCTGCTGTCGCCCTCCAGGTGCAAAGGAAGCTGGCGAATTGCTCCGTCCTTGCACGCTGCGCTGCGGCGCCCTCGATGTCAGCTGCAGGTGTGTGGCTGTTCGGCTAAATTGGCTGTGGTTTCCAAATTATTATGCAACTGCTTGTGATTTTTCTTTGTTTCCCATTTTTTTTCCAGTTACTTCAGTGCAAAAGAAATCCTTGCTGTGGTGTTTTCCTGGAGATTTTATTCCTGGTGCATCTAGATGCTCAGTGTTGGCATCTCTCATAAATAACTACTTGTGCTAGCTCAGGATGACTAGTACTTTTCACATTCCTGATCACCTTCCTTGGGGTGATATGTCCTGGCTGTGAGATTGACCGTAACAAATTGAATTTTCCTAGGGGTGGCTGGTCTCTCTGCTGGGTTCGACATGCCTCATGCGGTATCAGCTCCTGTGACTGAGAAATAAATAATGCCCTGAGCAGTGCAGTGACCTGTGCAGGGTGACTGTCCTCAGGGCAGCAAATCTTCTCAGACAGGTGATTTCTTGTGACAGCCAGTTTTGTGCTTGGAAAGGGCTTGGTTTCAGCAAACAAAACCCGACAGCATGTGAAGCCCCTATTATCTCTGTGGCAAAGGGCACCGGGCTTTCCAAGTGTGAAATGCCATACCCCACGCTCCGTGCATTTGTGTGTCCTGCTGGAAGGTCAAGGGAAAGGCCCAGTCCTGACCATCTCGAGTGCTTCAGTGTTGATCTGCTGAGTTTCGGTGGGCTCAGGGGTCACCCTCGCACCCAGCTACAGCTTTCATGGCCCTGCCCAAATTTAAAAAGCGGTAGCATATTTTTTTCTTGAGTTACTCATATTTTAATGTGCTGGAGGGAGAGAAACCCAGCTGAAATGGGGATGTTCCCTATTAACTTTTCCATTATCTTAGCAAATTGGTGACCAGAGACTGTATCGCCTTAGATGCCACAATCTTGTCCTTATTAATTTCAATTAAAAGTGAAATTAATTTAATTTAAAATTGAAATTAATTAAGAGCTGGTGGGTACAGCAGGAACCAACGCAATGGCTCTTCTGCTCCGTGACACTGGCAGATCACTTCACTGGGCTGCAGCCGGTGGAGAGCAGTCCCACCTCTTTGGCTGTGCTGTAGAGAGACCTTTGCCTGGGGACCTGTATAGATAAAAACAGCAACGGTGCGAGTGGTGTAAGTGCTCTGGTGCCAGGAAGGCACCTGATTCTTCACAGCCCGAATTCCGCCTCTGGCAGTTCCGTGCTGCAGCCGCATCCACCGGCCGGGCGGTGGTCTGGCAGATGCTGCTGACTGGGACCACTGCTGGGACCCACTGCCGGGGAGGGCAGGAGGAGGCAGCATCCCGGTCTAACCGGCATTTTGCCGTTGCACTCAAAAATTGGGTCTGCTTCTCAGAGAACCGCGCTGTAATGTTCGGTGATTTCATTTCTCTCATTACCTCTCAATTTGCTTAAAAATAAAAAGAACTCTTGAAGAATACTCAGGCAGTTGCAACAAGGTGAAACCTTTTGTAAAACGGGGTTGTTAAGGAGCTGACTCGAGGGTGAAAACATCTGGATTTATATTGTGCTGTAGTTTTCTGAAGAGGCATGGGCAAATTACTTAACCCTCCTGTGCCTCTGTTCTTCAGCAGTGGGCTCCCTTCTCTTGCAGCAGCTCGGCCGTTTGCTCCGTGGAGCGTGGATCCCCTTCTGCCATGTGGAGACAGGCGGCACACGACGGGGTGGTAGGGCTCACGCCTTGATCGGCCTTCTGTTGTCCTCTGATATGCACACGTAGTCATAACGCCTCTTGCATATTCTTCCAAATTGCTGTTGCTGTAATTTGACTATTTTCCATGACACTGTGATTTTTTAAAATTTTTTTTTTAAAGATGGACTTCTCAAAGGGGCTTTCTTTGCCTGTGGCAGAAGTGGGATGATAGTATTATTTTTCTCTCAGCATTTCCTCTGAGTAGGCACACTTGTGGATAATAAGCTAGTGAGATGAAAAGAAAATGTAATGAGCAGACAGAAGGTTGGGTGCTGGAAGGTGATGTCAACTCCCGACGCAGTCAGGATGAGACAGTGTTAAAAGCCGGATTTTGTTTGTGCTGCTTCTGGGCAAAAGGGTGTGGAAAGCATCCCGAGGGTGACAGCCAGATGTTCTCCCTAGCTGGCCAAATTTGCTGAAAGATAAAGCAGAAATAGATCGTAGGCGAGGACAATGGCTGGATGAGATGGACATCATTCTGTGGTCCTTTGCCAGTGTCATCTCTATCCCACCTTCAGCTGTTCTGTCTTTAAATTGCCGCGGGACTCAGAAGAGCGTTAGACGTATCTTTGTTCCTCTGCGTGGATCTGCGCCAAGTTCAGCTCCCCGATACGGAAGGACTTGCATTATCATTCCTGATCCTGTGGTAGCACTTGTTTTCCTGAGGCTGCAGAGAAGAAAAGGAAGGGAGGAAAGGAATATGATGAAAATGGGGGAAATTACAGTGACAAAAGGAAGACAAGTTGTAACAGATGATGCGGTGTTGTGCTAGCTGTACTGAGGTGGGCAACAGGGATAGGAGGACCTGAGCCCCCCCAAAGTATTGACTTCCACTTGGCAGATGGAGTTTGGGGGCTTTGGCAGGGCTGACTTGTCTCTGATAAGTATGTTTTTTGTGTCTGGTTAGGTTCTGTATTTTTCTATCTAAATATTATTCCTCGAACCTGGATTTAGAAATACAACCCCTGCTTTCAAAATCGTACTTCATGCTCATACTTCAGTTGCTTCTTTATAGCAATTTTATTATCTTCCGTGGCATCTCTTAAACATAATTTGTCCGAGTTGGCATATCACATGAATTTTCTCTCCGAAGGGCAGATGTTTTGACTTCTTCATTGTTTTAGATGCGATCAGGCAGTGAAATGAGGCTTGTCAAATTTGTAGATGTAGATTCAGGATGAAGAGCATATGTTTGGTTCCTGATTTGGACACCACAAATTTCAGTACTCTTTGGAAGTGAGACTCCGGATTGGCTCACTGTGAAAACTGGGCATGGTAGGAAAGGTAAAACAGAGAGAGCTTAAAATGTGATCGTACCTAGTCTGAGAGCCTGAAATAAAAAGTATGCAATTCAGCTTTCTTACAACCAGCTCAGTTATAGACCTGTGTTTAAAATGTTAATGAAAACATTGATATTAAAAGACATGGGGGTAGAGAGTGTTAGCAAGTTCACGAAAGCATTCCTATTAAAAGACAACAGAGAGAGAGGGTGTTAACATCCAAAATCTGAGTGCTGGCTTAACTCCTCTGGATTTGCAGGTGTTCCAGATGTTAACGTCCAGCTGGACCTCGGCGTTTCGTGGTCTGCCCCACTCTTGCAGAACCCCACGCCGGGGTCCCAATGCCTGAGACCTGAAACTCCCCTCTCCCCGCAGTCGTGGGCTGTGTTGTATGGCATATACAGCTTCTGCAGCAAACCTCTCTCCATAGCCGGCACAGAGGGTTTCTTTCCCCCCTCATTTGTCCCTGCAGGTGATGAGCATCTTCACTCTCCCTTTTTATTCTACCCTTCTTTCAGGTGGTCTAACTGGTAAACAGATCTAGTTAAACTCAATTGTTATCAACTTGTATTTAGCTCTGATATTTGCAGCTGCTGTTCCAGGTTTGAAAAAGGGTTTGTGTTCCTAAAAGCTGGTCTTTTTTCCAAGCACTGGAAACCATAAACTTTGCTTCGGTTAGATTGTGGCGTCCTACCTGAAAAGATAATGGCGATGAAAAGGACACATTTTTTAATATAGGATGTGTGTTTTAAAACATTATTCTGAGAATCAGTTACCCAGTGGGTACTACATTCCTGGCCAGGTACGCAGTGGCTGTCTTCAGCCTTCTTTTTTTGGAGAAAGTTTGGGCAGGCTCAGTGGACCGCATGGCTGAGGCAGTTTGGTAACCCTCATGCATCATGTTTATCTTGAATGAAACCCAGTTTGCCTGGTTAATTTATTTGCAGAATGCATGCATTACGTTAAAAAAAATAATTCCACTAGCAAAGTATGAGTACACTTCCCTACAGTCGTGTTGTGGCAAGGATCTAGTAAGTGTCTGTCCTGTTATCCTGGTGTTAGCTTAGAGGCAGGATGTGCCCCGAGGAAAATCGGTTTATTTCTGACCGGTATCATGCACAAGTCTGTAACAAGGAGGATTCATCTGTTGCTGTGGCAGAGTGATTAACAACAGCTTCCTTGCTAGCAATCTCATCTGATAAAAAGCTTTGGGGAAAAACGCTTCTTGGTTTCTGTGCCTTTCAGTTCAGTTAATGAAGAAAGCAGCAGATGACAATTATGTTGAGAGCTGCACTTTTCAAGACAACCTGTGGTCTCAGAAAGCACACAGGGGGAGAGCTCTGTAGCCTGAAGGACAAGTTGCTCACACACCCGTGTCTCTGTGAAAACAAGACTTTGAACTGTCTGTGCCTGTTGGCTCCCCAGACGACCGGACCCGTGGTGCGTGGGTCCAGCACTGGCACAGCCAGAGTCCGAGCACGTCCGAGCTCTCTGCTACAGTAAGAGCTGTCTGGGAAGATTTGAGCAGGCTATAGCCCGGTCCTCCTGCTCTGCTGGAGCTGGAGTGGTGGGCCATGGCAGAGCAAGGGCACCGGGGGGCTCGGCAGACTCAGACCTGTCTACTCGGGGATGGTGCGAAGGTACCTGAAGTATTTCAGGTCAGCATGAGAGGGCCACACGAGTGGCACCCAGGGGAGCTACCAGGCAGGGCTTGCATGCAAGCTATCCACTTAGAGCCTGTGCCTTGGACGGACCCCACTGGCAGCCCGCGGCGAGCACCAGGTCAGCGCTGGTAGCGCAGCCCAGCCTGTGGTTTCACAGCCTCGGGCTGCAGACCGCGGCCTTTCTCTGATGCCTCGAATGAGCGACTCGGTGCGGTTTGGCTGAGCCACCAGTGGCCGGTTGAGGAGTGGGTCCCTGAGCATCCCCACCTTCCCTTAGCTGATGGCTGCTGGGCACAGCGCTGCGGCACCAGCATCTTGGAGAAGCATTAGCTGGTTTCAGAGCATTCAACTCCGTAATCGTTGCTGTGGTGCCTTATCCAGCAATCTGCAGCAGGGTTTGAACCCAGTACAGTTAATCTGTGTTTGCTGTATGGTAATTTGATTTGCTGTTTCTCTCGATCTATTTATTGCCTGAGATGAAACACAAGCAGCTTCATCCTGGCTGATCAGAAACACTTGATAGGTAGAGTCCTTCAGATTAGCACTTAGAAAACATCCTCCCTTGCTATGCAGATGTCCACCTCCCAGCTCCATCTCCAGCTGGAGGCCAGAAGGTGAAACGAAATGCCTGTTCACATTCCTCCCTCCCTGTTTCAGTGCATGGTCTGCAAAGCCGCTGCTCTTCTGTTTCCCTTCTGAGCAGAAGCAGCCATTCTGGATGCTGAGTGGCAGCGAAGCTTGCATCCAGAGCTGCTTGCACCGTTATCGAACAGTTGCCTAGAATAGCACAAGGATACGAAGATCCAGCTGCCCATTTACATCTTCTCATGGTACAAATGTTTGATGGACTAAAATTCTCTGCATTTGGTTTCACCAGGAACAAGATGAGGCTTTCACGTTTAAGGGGCAGGGTAGAGTGGAAACATTCCCTTGATGGTTCCTTGTCTGATCTGCCATTGACAAAGGCTGACCCAAGGAACTTGCCTTTGCAACTGGACTGCAAAGAAAAAAAGCCTGTTAAACACCAAGTTTTAAACAGCACCCAAATCTCCAAAAGCAACAGACAGTTGCTAGACTATCCCTCATTTTTCTCAGCTGTTACCTCGTGGAGAAAAAGTAGAAATAATGGAATATCATCAAATGTTTGCTCAGCCATTTAATATTTGAATGTTTGCTCTTTCTTGTAGTCACCTTCGACCATTTTGAAATTTTGCGAGCTATTGGGAAGGGCAGCTTCGGGAAAGTAAGTATTTTGTGAACTAATCACCATTTGGACAACTGGAAATGTAACTGACTGAGAAATGGGCGAATTAGAGGCTCACATGAGAGTAAAGAAATAAACACCTGCATTGTCAATGAGCTTTGACCTGAGCTTCAACTCCTGGTAATCAAGAAGGAGTCAGATCCTTATTCCTCATCCATTCCATAGCCACAGATTATATTACAGGAGTCTAAAATGAGAAACTGATAAATCAAATGAGCTGAATTTCATTGTGTTTCTGGATAAGCATTTTCTAAGATTTCCCAGCAAATCAACGCTGAACATCACGATGCATCTTTAATAAAGAACTACAGTCAACATGAAAGGCCTGGCAATTTTTTAAAGAGGATATTTCTCTGTGAAACACAATGTTTGTTATTAAGCATCAGGCTTTGGTCGTATGTTTTATTTTTATGCTGTTTTGGAATCCCCACTTGTACACGCTGACAGAAGTCTAGAAGGTCATTTGCCCCTTCATGTAAAGGCACGCTCATGCCAGAAAAGGGGGGGTGCCTTAGGTGCAAAGTGTGACAAAAATGCCTAGACAAAGAGATTTATTTGGTGGCAAAAGAAGAAAGGTTGACTGAAACTTTGCAAATTCATCCCAAACTCATAAACTGTTGTGGAAACAAATCTGAAAACCCAGTCTATTTTGTTTTGTGCTCTTACAAACTCCGAGTCTTTCATTGAAGCAACGTTTCTTTCTAGATTTGATGAAATATAAGAAAGGTTAAAATTCAAACCCCAGTACCCCTCAAACAAAGCCCAAGGTTCATTGTGAGCTGAATGAAACTTATCAAGAAGGGGGAGATCAGGTGCTGCTCCCCAGTTTCTAACCTGTAGTTCTGTGTTAGAGAGGACTCTTCCAAACAGTAACTGATGTGAGAGGGATGGACATGACCAAGATTAGTTAGTGCTATTAAATAAAATGTTGACTCATGTGCGATTCCCTATCTCCTGTCTTTGCAGTGATAAATCCCTTCCCCACAGCAATATTTCTTCTTTGGCCGAAAACTGGGTGAGCGATTTACTGGTGATGTCCAGTGTTGCAGCGTCAGTGCATGGAACTGTGACTTGGCAGTGTGGACTTTGCTAAAGCCACAGGAGAATGCTCGTGTGACCGTGTTTTACCTGCCTAAATTTGCTGACAAATCATCTCTGATTTATCCCTTGTTTTGCTCACTTAGGTCTGTGTTGTGCAGAAGAACGACACCAAGAAGATGTATGCCATGAAATACATGAATAAACAGAAGTGTGTGGAGCGTAATGAAGTGAGAAATGTTTTCAAGGAGCTGCAGATTATGCAGGGCCTGGAACACCCCTTCCTAGTTAATTTATGGTAAGATATTGCTCCTTTGCTTACTGGCTAAGTCAGTTAGAGACATCTTTGAGACCAGACTTGCCCATTTCTCTGCTGCAAGCCGGTGTCCGGAGCCGCTGGTGTGTTGTCTCCTGCAGCGTGACGGGCGCCGTGCCGCCCGCTGAGACGTGGACGTGGGTCTCACTGGTGGCGGGTGGGCGCCCCAGGCCCTGTCTGCAGGGTGAACAGCAGCGATTGCCTGGGATTGCTCTGGAGGATGCAGGTGTGTGCACCATGTGCGGGTCCCGTGGTTCTTCGTCGGAGGTGGGACTCCTCATCTGTTCCACTGACCGGGGCTCTGGTTTAATTAAACAAGAAGTTATCTCTCTTGTCCCTCGAGACAAGCACAAGAGAGTTTATTCGTGTGTTCCCTTGTGTTTTCTTCCTAAGCAGATACTGCTCATTACCATAACCCGGTTTTATTTAATAGTGCTCTTTTGCAACAAACAGCAGCTCCCAGGACCACACAGTAACAGCACAGGATCGGCAGCCAAGCAGTGCTCTGTTTGCAGGGTTTCCCTTGGCAGTGCTTTCTTCTCATCACCTCTCGATTCTGATTTTGTGGTTTATTTTGTACTTTAAATAGCCTTCCTTGACACCTTATTGATATTTGACTGAATTGATGCTAATCAGCAAAGATAAAAGCAATTTATCATTGAATTTACTGACAGAAAAATAATACAAATCAAATTTTACTGCAGAAACCCATATATCTATTGCAGAAATGTGTACATGAAAGTCTCTTTCCTTTAAGAGTACCTGATAAATGCAACCTACTTGCTCTGGTTCTAGTCCTTTTTCAGCCATTAGCAGTGGGATTGACCAGTTGAGTGATAAAAGACACACTAATTCTTCCCCCTTCGTTTGATTCAGCATGTTTTCCTGCATTGGGGCAGTAGAAAGGAGTTTTAAATGACTCTATTACTGTTAGAGTCTGCAGGTTAATTTTGTTAGGACATCAGTAACATTTCAAGTGGTGTGGTCTCACACACCATGTGATGCAGTGGCCAATATCCTGTAGTTAGAGGATTCCTCTGGGATGGTGGGTAATTACATTTATTGGACATTGGATTTATTTTTAGAATGAGGTAGATCTTATCAATGCTAAGCACAAAAATGAGGCTAAAAGACATTGAAGATCACAAATCTTTGAATGACTTTGTGATCCTTTTTGAAATCTCCTGTAACTTGAATGCTGTTAGGTGAACTCTCATGATTGTGATGGTATTGTCATTCAGTGTTGTTCTAACTAGGGTATGAATGAGAACCATGCATCTAGACCTCCCAGAGCTTTGGTCATACCTCCAAACTTTGCTATCCTACTTGAACAAGCAGTTCCAGGCAAAACTTACTCAGCAGCTTAGAACTAAACAGCATATGCGTATGTATAGACCTGTACAGAGCAAATCATATGAGTTTCCCTACTCCTGTTCTTACCACATCATCCCTGGCCTTGGGTATAGCCTTCAGCTTTCCTGCACTCTGAATGGTACACAGACGACAAGCTTCATGTGGAGTAATATTCTGGTTTGTGGTGCTTCGTGTCACATCAGGAAGCTGGTGTATCAGTAAGAAAAAAATCCATGAGAAGAAAAGCTCATAGCTGATTGTTAGACTGTCTCAAAGGGGCACTTGGTAAATAGTCACATCAAATGAGGTCACTTAAAGAGGAATGGCAGATAGCAGATTCATCCCCTGTTGTGTTGAGCAAATGGGTTTGTTAACAGGGTGCTGCCAGGAGAACCAGAGCCTGGCTGTGAGTGCCTCTGGTGCACAGTCTACTGGCTGTGAGTCTGGGCAGGGCTGTGCATGCTGGTTTAGGGCTCCTCTCTACATTACTCCTATGGTCAGTTCCCGTGGGTGCTCAGAGAAGACGAAATGTCCATCTTGAAGAGTTGAGTGTGAACCCCAAGGGGAACAGATAGCATTTATCCACAGCTCCAAGCTGGATTTCACTGCTATGTTGAGTTACCCATTACTCAGCCAGGTGGGACTTGGCAGCAAGTGAGGGGATCTTCCAAGATCCCTTGGAGGGATCTCACGTATGTGAGTGTTGGCTGGGGCAGCGTTGGTTTTATGGACGATTTTCACAGTGCCAGCACAGACGTGGCGTGGGTTATTTCTGGAGCTGCACTGCTCCATAGTCGAAGTGGGAGCTGTTTGAGTCGCTGCCTGTGGCCGTCCTCTGCTGATGGTGTGCAGTGGGTGCAGCCGCGCCGTCTCCCTCTGCACGCGTCCTAAGTGGAGGCATTTCATTAGCTCGCAGCCGCTGGCACCAGCTGTTAGCTGCTCAGCAGATGAAGCTGGTGCGTGCTGTACGCTGCCCAGAGATTCGGGAAGCAGGCAATAAAATAAAAACCCGTGGCCCACACCTCCTGGGCCCTTTCTGGTCCAGGCTGTCAGTCACTGCCACTCGTATCCCACGATAAACTCACCTCAGAGCTGTGCCCGACTGCCAGGCTCCGTCCATCTCCCTTCACAACCCGTAGAGGGAGGAAATTAGCAGCAAGCTGCGTTAGAGTAATGGGTTTGGGGAGGTTTGGACGTGGCTTTGTTTTTGAAGTGGCTGATAGTAGCAAGTCCGACATAAAAACTTTGGGTTCCTCTTCTTCTCGTGGGCCTGCTGGTAGTTGTTCATACAGGCTGCTCCGACTCTGTTATGGATCTGAAGCTAAATTATTGTCGTCTCAAGTATGACAATAGGAGTTTAGTCACAGTGGGAAACGGAGCACGGAAAGGTCATGAAATTATTATTGCTCAAGTGAAAAGGTTCCAAGAAATGATGACTATTCCCAGAGGTACCACGTGTCCGTTTATAACCTGTCTTTTTTCAATGTTATCCTTATTGAACCGTGCTTGTACCATTTTAGGTACTCATTCCAGGATGAAGAAGATATGTTTATGGTTGTAGACCTGCTGCTTGGAGGGGACCTGCGTTACCATCTCCAACAAAATGTGCGGTTCCAAGAAGGCACAGTGAAACTCTTCATCTGCGAGCTGGTGCTGGCCCTTGACTATCTCCAGAGCAGGCACATCATCCACAGGTCAGCTGGGGACCTCATAGCTGGACTTCTGCTGGTAGACTGCAGTAAGGACAGACTTGTTCCTCTTTGACATGAAAGGAGAAATAGAAGCTTAAGAGCTAACCGAAATATTCTTCTACATACGTTTGCTTTTGTGTAAAACACTAGGCTTCCCAGAGAAAAGCATTTCATGTACAACAGAGAGCATCTTACTTCTCCCTCTGGGATAGTTATGATATAGCAGATTTGATTTGTTTGCTGATCCTGCAAAAAACTGTCTCTAATAGGTTTAATTAGCTGTAGCTCATTAGTACCCATCCTGGTCCAGGGAGGGTAGGCACCAGCTTTCAGAATTCCCCTGCTGTCACACTCGAAGATGTCTCCCTTTTGCTCCCCACTCTGTACTGCACTGAAGGACAAGGAATGGGACCAAACACAGCTCTCTTCTGTATGAGGTTAAATCCCTTTCTAGAAGTGGTGAGAGTTTCTTTTTGGCCACCAAGATTTTTCATGGCTAGTGAAAAAATATTTGAGCTCTTCCCACACCTTGGAAGACCTGCAAAATAAGAGAGGAGGTGGAGCTTTTCCCTGGTTGGAGAGGCAGGGTTTGGCTCCGGACGGACAGACATGCAGCCGCTTCCTACCGCAGTACTGGGGGGTGCAAACTCGGGGGTCCAAGGGTTTTGACCTGGTAGCTGCTAACAGGGGGTATGAATAGGGAGGGACTAGCAGAGGGTTAATAAAGACGGGGAGAAAATTATCTCATTTATAAATATCATTCCCAAAGAGCATTCTTGTGAGGTGTAAAAATAAAGCATGGTATGAAATCTAAAATTGAAATGATCCTGGTTGTCAGTGGGGGAAGGAACACGCTATTGAAGAGCTGGTGAAGATTAATGCTTGTTCGTGTCTGTAGCGTTTGGCTGCCGTTTCTGAGATGTGAAAGCAGAAAGGCTGATGCTTGGCGTGCCTGTAGCATGCCCTCCGCAGCTGTGGAGAGCCCCAGAGCACCGGAGCGGTTGGAGCCATCCTTGGGGATAGCTCCCGCTTTCTCAGGAGTCTCACCTTTCATGCTGCTTGTTTTGTTTTATACCTGCATAGCTTTCTACCCTGATGCCCCTGATCTCGGCAGGCAGGCCGTCCCAGCGGGCACTGCCGGGGTCTGGGACGCGAAGCCGGCGTGCGGTGACAGGGACGTTGCGCTGGCCCTCTCCGCCGGGCGCCTGCTCACCGGCACCAAGTGATGGATGAGCATGAATTAAACATCATGAAATGCAGGCTCGGCTGTCTCTGTCCTGGGCAGCGAGGGGTAAATCCTCACACTGTTGGCTTGGCCTGAACAAACTGAGTGGGGCACTGGCACATAAGGGGAAGCACAGGGAAGAAATCCTTCTCTATTAGTAATGATGTGTTACAATTAGTGGTAGTGCTTGTAGGACTAAGGGGCTACAGGTTCAGTGCTGCGTGAGGAGACTGTTCCTCATCATGATGAAAGAAGTGATCGCTGCGGGAGCACAGGGTGCCGGGGGGCTACGGTCCCCGTTCTGAGCCATGTCCCTGCAGTCGCGTGGCCGTCGGCATTGCCGAGGGCTGGGCCCGCATCCCGCTACGGCTGCAGAGTAAGGGCTGGTGGGAAGAGGACAGCCAAAGGGCAAACTCCTGGGATTTCCCAGAGGGTTATTTGTAAATAGAGGTGGGAGAAGCTAAAGTTTAGGCTGCAGTGTGTATTTCAAGCAGCTAGATGTGTTTAAGGTGAATTGAGTACAACAAAACATGTATGGCAGTCTGTAAAATTTGCAAGTTACTTAATTAACACTGTAACCCAGTGGGACAGGATTAGATTGATAAAGTCACTCAGCTGAGTCAATTACATTGCAACATCTGTAACAGGGAACATCAGGAGACAGGCAAGCAATTGCTTATTTTGTCTGAACAAAGCTGTGCAGAGACAGCAAACACAGACTGATGCCTGGAATTATTTCCTACCTACACCTAGAAGAGTGGGAAATACTTGTTATTTTTTTTCAGACTAGGAAAGGTATAACCAGTTTATAAAAAATAAATATACAAATAATCAATAAACAAAATTATCTTTGTTCATCATTTGCATCCTGGGAATGATCTCACTGTGCTGGTATAATTCCATAGGCTGCATACCAGACTGAGTGAGATCAGAAAAGGCCCCAGTGGGAGACAAAAAAAAAAAAGAAAAAAGAAGTTGAAAACTGGATGAGAAATGAAAACCTGTCTTTATGGTTCATTTCAAAGATTTGACAATATTTTTCTATCAAGGGAGTCAAAGAATCCATTTTTTTCAAACTCTTTGCTGAAAAGTTTCTTCAAGTTTTTGCTTAAACTAGTGTTTTCTCAAAAATACCAAGCGTGGCATCACCATTTTTCACTATCAAATACAGAGCTTCTGATCATCCGGACTGTTTGGCTCTCACCTGTGGCACAGTTTTGCTGTGCTTATGGGGAAAACCAGCCACTTTCCTGAAGCCAGCCTCTTTATCTCTTGATAAAGGCGCCTGTCCCTGTGCTTACCTGTGTGATGGGAGATGGCACGAGGAAGGTAACGGGTATTTATAACCCACTGGAAGTAGTTTAGGTGAGAAGATGCCAGAGAACTGTAAGCTCTTACATGATAATTAGATATGTTGTCTTTTTTTGATTCCAGGTGGCTAGGTGAATTCAAACTTTATCTTAGTCATTGCATTTTTAAAGATAAAATCCTAAACCTGCTCATTTCTTGACTTGGAATGCCTGGGCCTGGTGGGAAGCCTCAGATCGGTACAGGGTTATTGGACACGTGCCTGCCTTGTGTATGCGACAGTCTCCTTACGGGGCATTAAATTGCCAGGTGCCTGGCTCAGGCTGATAGCACGTGAATGGGGACTGATGTAATGAGCTCATTAAAACCAGGTAATGTCATGTAAAGTCACTCAGGTGGATACAGTAGGCGTATTGGGTGTATGTTTTCTCTCTTCAATGGAAAACATTTCCCTGCAGCATTGCTATAGGATTATTATTTGGGGGTTTTGGTGTTTTGTTTTGTGTTTTTTTTTTATTCAGGAACAAAACCTGTGGGGAACCCATTTGTTTCTAGAACAAAGATGTTAAAATAATTGATTTTTGCTGAATAAATGGGGAACAGCTCTCAATATAGTATTGAAGCAGATTAAGGAGGAAAAAGATAAAAAGAAGTTCTAACGTAGGTGGACTACCTGAGTGCTGCCAGTCCAAACCACAGCAGCCTTCACAGGCAAAGCCCTGTACCACCGTTTCTGCTTTTGTTTAATTAGTCACTCTTGTGCCTAAATCGAACCCTGCAGGAACAACAGAGCTAAAGAGCCCCAGCAAAGACACCTTCCAGGGCATGACATCTCTGGAAGTGTGTCCCTCCAGAGCCTGGGCTTTCCTAAAGTGTCTGCAGCTGTGTTTCATGTCACTTTTCTAGGCTAATGTCTGTCTCCCTTTCTCTGCCTTTTTTCTTAGAGACATCAAGCCTGACAACATTTTACTGGATGAGCATGGTAAGTGCCAGTTGCTTTGTGGTCATGCATATGCACAAAAGCAGAGTCAGAAACAGGACATCCAAGTTAAAGTTTAGGTGCTTGCTGTTTTCCTTGTTTTGTGTTGCTTTCTCTCCCTCAGTCCAGTTAGGAACGGGACCATCCTTTCATGCTTTGGTTGCTGTCTTTTGCTTTTTGAGTGGCAGCATCTTGTACCTTCAGGGCACTGGGCACCCTGTGATGCTGCGGTATTTCTGGGGGTGTCTTAGTGTTTAACCAACGCCTCCTCTGCCTGACTGACCTAACGGTGTCCCTAGAAGGCGCTGGCAGGGACAGCACATTTTGTGTTGCTTCTGGTCAATTGCCTAGCAGACCTTATTTTAAGACCTTCTTGGCTTTTGCTTAAAACTTACTCAGGATGTAATCATTTCATCGGAAGTGCTCATGCAATTGCAGGCTGTATGTAACGTGTACTCACAGAGTGAATTATGGTTGAATAGATCTCTTCATTCAGGTATTTTGTTTTTCCTTGAGCATTTGACATTGGAAGGGAGCTCCGAAGAGGATGTGGGACTGCGTATATTATAGATGTTGCCATCAGTTTTTCTTTAGTCTTTTTCTCAGGCAAAACCGTAACTAAATTCTTGCATTACTCTCTAGACACATTTCTTTTTGTCCTGGCAGAGCTCTCACAGTGAAGAGTTGTCTGATATTTATTAGTTTTTAACTCATTAGAAAAACACTTTGTCATGTCATATTTTTTGAAAAATCCATGTAACTGGCTTGTTGTGAGAAATCTTCATTAGCGAGGCACTCAAAGAGAAAAAGTCGGTGCAGGGACAAGGCATATCTGAATTCATTATCACTTCAGAGGCTGTAATAGAGATGCTGAAGCTCATGAGGAATTGTGTGTGACAGGGGTTGCCTGGCAGCACCCAAGCACCGACTCTACCCGTTTTGCATATGACCTCTAATTTCAAAGTGCTAGCTAATTATTTATTTAGGAGCTGTCAGCCAAGCTGCTTCTGCCTCCAAGTGCAGTAGCCTCTCTCCTGCCTCACTCAGTACTTCTCCTGCTGTTGCCTCGTGCACAGACCGATGCGGAGACCTGTCCTCCCTTCCACCCGTGTCCACCGATGCGCTGTGGGCCTGCTTGGCGAGCTGGCGCCAGGCTCCTGGCTCTGCCGTGGCTCCGTGGCCGCCCTCCCAGCCAGCGCTGTGCGGTGCCGGTGTGGGGGTGCGCCCGGTCAGTCCTCACCAGCGGATGATCTCGGGTGACCTGACCTGTCACCATCTTCCAAGAACCTCTGTGCCCCGTAGGACTGGGGTGACACAGCCACCCGAGAGGGAGCTGGGAGTGCTAGAGCCATGGAAATGTAGGTCAGCATTCCCCAAAGAGGGAAAAAACAGAGAGGAAAAAGCTCTGTTTGTCTCTGCAGTTGCATTCAGCTCAGCAGGACGTAACCTGCAAACTTCTATAATGACACTGCAATTTAGGTTGATTTTTGAGCCTATTCTCTGCTCGCTGTGATGTTTTAACTGTCTGCTGCAGAGGTTTCAGAGTTATTTTCTGTGGATGTACCCTTGACTTCAGTGTCCTTCTGACTATGACTTGCAGTGTTTCTTTCCTTCATCCATGGCAGCAAAGGTGTGTCCTCGCCTGCATACAGAAAGCTTTGTTCATACAGTTCAATTTTTTCTTGTCCCCAGAGCAACTGTTATTGTAGCCACTTACTTATATTTAGCCTAGTAGATTGTGCTTGTTTTTCAGTATCTCTTTCAAAAAAAATGGGATGGAGCTGCAGCTCCCCATTCTCTCTTCTTTCCCTTCATCAGGCTTTCACAACTGTGATCACGAAATATATGCTATTTGCTAACATCAATTTTTTATATTGTTCTTGATTGAGACCAGTCCCCTGAGAGTATGAAGCACCTGAAGACCTTCAGCAATCAGACTTCAGTCCTTCATTTTTTAGACTCTTCTTGCCCCCTAACTCTGCCCTTTGCCCCATCGTCCTTTCCAGCTGTGAAGTATCTTTCCAGCTGTGACTCCTTCATCCTTTCAGATTTACATATTGGAAGGAGCCCATGTCTGTTACAAACCGCAGCACTCTTTTTGCTGGTGTTAATCACCAACAAGGCTGCAGGAGCCCTTGTGTACATCATCTGATCTTTGTGTAGGAGGCTGGTTCAAGTTTTTAATAGTACAAATGCCTCTCATGATGCCACATGTTGAAATGTGTTGTCCTGCTGCTGAGTGTCAAGAACTTGACACACACCTCATGCATTTGCCTCTGTCACCCTGTGTTGAAATGTGTTGTTCTGCTGCTGAGTGTCAAGAACTTGACGCACACCTCATGCATTTGCCTCTGTCACCCTGGTCGGTGACATTCTCTATTACCATATCAATTTCAGCTAAGAAATTAAAGTGAGCCATGAATAAGGTGCAATATTGGGCAGATGTCTTTCTATGCAATAACTAAAGCAGTTGTTCAACATCAGAGCTTGGGATCAGGTCCCACAATGAAAAAATCCTCAGCAGATGATCACCTTCAACAGTCATTTGAAGCACAAAGTGATTTCTGCCTTTAATGGTAAGTCTATTGATTTGACTCAATGACAGCACAGCTCACCTGGGAATAAAAGAATGTAACAGATGGCAGTTTCCAGGAATTGTGACTAATTCATCAGGAGTTTTTGGCCAGGTCATTTGTCTAATAAAATTGAAGAAAAGCTCAGTTTTAGCTCTAGTAAAACTGAGTGTTATTTTGCAAGAGCCCCATAGTGGCTTTGCTCAGTATTATTTCCTGTACCACTGCCGTAAGGTTCTCGAGAGCAGTGCTAAAATGGGTCAGGTCATGCCAATGCAGACACTGCCGCGTAGCCCGTTCGCTCTCTCATCTCCAATAAGAAAGTTACGGCACAGTCTGTGCAAGAGCCTCCATGCTCCACAGCTCCTCATGTCTCTAGTTTCATATTCTTTAAAATGTTATAAGGCTTCTGCAGATTCGGCTAAGATATTTTTTGCACAAAAGATGCTCTAGAAAGGTGAAGGAATTATGTAGTAACAGAAGTGCAGAACATAATAATAACATTCTTTGCCTTAATGCAGAACCAAAGGCTTGATTTGAAAGTGCCAATTTCAGGCAGACAGGATGAGCGTCGGGAAGGACATGGTGCCCAGAGCACAGCTCTGGCTGTGCTGTTTCCAAACTGCCTGCAGTTAGAGATGCTGAGCGATCTGGAAAACACGAGCCTTAAAGTTTGACCCTAAAGCCCAGCAGCAACACCCAGCACATCCCTCTTGGTTACTGGTAGCTCCCATCCCTGGTCGCCCAGTCCACCCCGTTCTGTAACGCTGCCGTCGCTGTTCAGCCTCCTTGTACTGTCCGGAGCCTTCTTTCCTCAGCCTCATTGGCTTGATTTGGTAATTTTGCAAGTGGGCTAGTTTATAAAACTTGTGATTTATTTGAAGTGAATCATTTAAAAGATGCATCCAGAGAAAGGCATGTTTCTGCTTAGAATATCAAATTCTTAATAAGTCTTTATGATTCATATTTATGAAAACAGCTCCCCATAAAGTGGAATGAGAGCTAGAGATGAAAGGAAAAAAAATGCAAGGACGTAGAGGATGTATCCAGACAAGACAGTTGTATGTCATTCTTTTCTCTCAAGTACTCCCCAGCAATGTAACGCCCGTTCTTTAGTGGGCAGACTGAAGAAGAGAGGGCCCAGCTGATTCTGTAAAGCGGCATAAGCAGCGCGGAGGGACGTGTGCTCTTGACAGGTTGGTCAGGCACCGTGTGAGAGGTGAGCTCTGACACCTCAGTCACCCTCTCCCAGCAGTGCCCGGGGCTCACCAGGGGGACCTCAAGTTTTCCTTTCTTCCTTCAAACTCAAGCCTGACGAGCACTGCAGGTTTGATAAGGAAATCTGCGTCTGGTGGGACTTGCAGCCCAGAGAGCCCACAGGGGCAAAGACAGGTCCCAGCTGAACGGGGCTGTTGTCAGGTCGCGGTCCTGCTGAGCTGTACCTGCCCTTTCCCTGCCTGAGGCAGGCTGATGGTGGAATACGAAATCGCTGAAAAGCTGGATGGTAACTTCACGGGGAGGGGCTGAGGGGTGTGTTCATCCTCACCAGATGCTGACAGGTAGAAGTGGTTGCGGCACGATCCAGAGCCTTCTGGATAAGTGTCATGTCTGCATGGTCTGTGTGCCTAGCAGTAGTGTCGGGAGGCGTAGGGACGAGGGCTCGGTGCCAGGTGGGAGCCAGTGCCTAACAAAGAGGTGGTCCGTGTCCCTGGAGACTTACAGCCCAAACGCTGAACACGCCCGGGTTTGCCCAAAGCGTGGCAGGCCGTGTGCTTCCAACAGTTCTGATGGGAAGCTGATCTGCTCCTAGCCTGGCTCAGCTGGAGCTGCATGCGTACGTCCAGCCATCCTCTGGAGCTGCAGACACACACTTTGGATGTGCATGCTCCAGGGTGCGTTTTGCAGCTGGCCACAGCTAATACAGGGTGTGGGCAAGAGGCTCCTATGCTTTACACACTGCACATGTCATTGACAAGACACAGGCAGGAACATGGATGTGATACCGTGTTTTTAGGTGAAATAAAAAATTCTACTTTTAGTCCCCAAATTTTCCCAGCTAGATCAGATATTTGCAGCAGGCAAGCTGGTATCACTGTTCTCATGTCACAGATATATAGGCACAATTGTAAAGATTTACTTAAATGTTTCATAGCATCCAGACAAGACAATAGGAGTTCATTACCAAAGCATCAACTTCTAGACATATAAAGGTGATGTTATTCTACTTTAACTCAAAAACTAAAGCAGCAGTGAATTTCTAGCTGTTGAAGCCAAAGACCGAGGGAAGTATTGTCATAGCATCTCCATCCGTGGAAAACTGCTGTGATTTGATCTCTGAGTTAGAAGAAACAGCAGCAATTCAGGCACCCTCTGTTGTTGCAGAGCAGGGTGATGAGTCTGCAAAACATCTGATGTTTTGATAATGAGCCCACCTTTGTCAGGGATGAGCAAGTTCAGTGCCTTAGTTAGGAGAAAATGCGTGAGGTCAGGAAGAAGAAAAGCCTGCCTGCATTTAATCAGAAGAATTAGGTTGAACTAACCTACAAGTTTCAAAGAAATTCACTTCAGTGAAGCTAGCCTTGTATTGATCACCTGTACTGCTGTACTGATTGGTCTGCTCACTGATAGGAGTTTAGTGAACAGGGAACAATAAATTAAGTGCTTGTGGAAAAAATAAGTGCAAGTAAAAGAGCAGGCACGAGCTAGGTGGAAGCATTTATTTTCTCATCCCTGCAAATCCCATCCACCTCTTCTATTTCCTTTTCAGTTTGCAGGCAGTTGTGCACGTTGTAGCAGTGATAGCAGAAACCATTCCTAACCCCCAAGCGGGTTTTCATGACGTTTGAATTTCTAGTGCAAGCTCTTTTGCTTGCTGCCAAAGGTATTTTGTTCCATTCGAGAGACATCCTCTAATGAGGAGAATGGAGAGGGTGCTTAGTACCTGGCAACACCCAAGGGCAAGTAGCTAGAAAGCCAAAATTGTCAAGGAAATTATTTTTTTTTTTTCAAAAACATAGTGGAATTTTTTTCTGTGAGAAGAGTTGAGTTCTCTTTCTCTCCCAATTTAGGAAGACTCAAAACAATCATCAGTAAATGACTTGTTGGAGAAGTCCATTTTTTTTGTTCCCAAAGGGTGAATAAGGGGATATTTGATATAACAAAACACATGGGTAAGCAGCCTGCAAGCTGAAATATTTTCCATCAGTTCTCCCACCAGAATATTTTTTTCCTGGAAACTCCTTTCCATAGAATATTTTACTTTACGTTTCTGATTCAAAGCTGTTTCTTGTGTAAAATTAAAGCAAATTAAGTTACACATAAAATTCTGTCTTTCAGGACACGTGCACATCACCGATTTCAATATTGCCACGATGCTGACTAAAGAAATACAAGTCACCACCATTGCTGGCACAAAGCCATATATGGGTAAGAACCAATGGCAATTATGTATTCTTGAATTACCATTTTCTGGGCTTGATTTGACAGCTGTGGTGGGGTACAGGTGAAGTAATTTTTGATGTGTCTGAACTGTTTTCTTCCTGGTATGTAACAAAACGCATGCGTTTGGTTAAAATGAGGAACAGCGTTGAGAGGTGCTGCAGAGGATAGAAGTCCCTCCTCAGTAACACCCTGATGCAGCTGGAAAATGTGCATCCATCTGCTGATTTCATGCAACAGACCAAAGCAAGCATACACAGATTTTGGCGCCATTACGCCATACTGTACAGTATGTTTTTGATTATAAAATAAGATAGTTGCACTCTTGAGATCTCAGAGCATTTCACAAGCAGCAATTAAGCCATGTAGCAGTGATGAAATGCTCTTGCTACCCTCGAGAATGAAAATGAAGGCTTGTATTCGGTCTCTCAGTACATTAGCACACATTTTGCACTGCTGCATCACTAGCAATTATTTGAATTTTTATATAAACTGGCTGCTTTAAAAACTAGCATTACTCTGTGTTTAAGCCAACGAGTGGATGTGAGACTTGTTTTCCTGGGCTGCAGTATCTGCTTGGCACGGTAGGGAGGACCCCATATTCTAGTGTCAGGCTGACGCAGTCGAGAGCATTGCTGCGCTGATGCCAAATCTGCATCAGAAAGAGGCGAGTGAGGGTTTGGCTCTGATCTCCACCACTGAGGACAGCATCCTGCCTTCACACAGCGGGACAGGAGGGCGGTCATATCTGGGGGCTGCAAAGCACAGTGGTGACAGATGTGCATTGCCAGTAGGAAAGCGAGGCACAGCTGGTGCAGAAGTGGCTGCTGCAATTGGAAGATAAATGCTGAGCCTATTTTTCAGTCTTTCTGAAAACCCCTGCTGTTGTACCTATGTAGCCGGTAGCAGTAGATGCATCTATTTCTGCCAGAAAGTGAAAACCAGCTGCGTGCAGCTCTGGAGATGGAGGTGTACAGAAGGGAAAGCCTCAGCCAGGCTCTGGAGGCCTGTTGAGCTGGTTCCCCAGCGCTCTGCCCACCGGCACGCGGACCTGCCGGCAGCGTACAGAGCACAGCGTTGGTGCTACGGCAACACCGTACCAGCCTCCAGGTGCCCGCGGAGCTGAGTAGCTGGGCTGGTTGCTATGTTTGCATACTGTCCCGTTCCCCTTCTTTCTTCATTTCACAAAAAGTGTAGGTTTTAGAAAGCTTTTTATCTCCAGGCAATGGTAGGGAACTAGTCCCACGCAAGAAAACTTGTCAGGCAGCTGTAGGATTGCATGGGGGGTGTTCTCCTGGGGCAGAGTGACTCTGGAGCGGGTGGATCACTCCATGGCAGCCTTGGGTCAGCTGGAGGAACAGTTTTCATCAAATCAACACACTCATGGAAACAAGACATAGAGTGATTGCTCCCTATGCAGACCTTTCCATAGTACTCAAAAAAATCTGGTGCTTTTTATTTTCCGCTTTGTGTTCACTTGCTGTCCAAATCAGTGAAGCAGCTGACTTTTCAGACAGTAAGAGACCCACTTGATACTTATCACACAAGCACAGTTAATAAACATAAAGCAAAGTAACGTTGACATACCTAGGAGGAATTGGCACCAGAGTATGCAGCTGATGAACAAGAGAGAAATACCCTGAGCTAATGCTAAAAGAACTCCTGTGCAAACGTGACACAGGAAAGTCTTTGTAATGATAAATTCAACTTTCCTAACTGAAGCAAAAACACTCAAGAGCATTTACTATACAGCTAACACAACCCCTCCCACACAAAATGCATACTTTCATATACAGTAACACTGTCTCTCAGACCTAAATAACGCAGCCTCCCTCCAGCTGTTGCACAGCCAAATCCCTTAGGGCAATTCCCCCGAGAGTCTCCTTTTTATCAAGATGACCAAGTTGACCTTTCACCTTTGCATCACCAGTGCAATCCTTTTAAAAGGAAAACATGCATGAACAGAAAGCATTGCTCCCTAGTTTGTATTTTTAGACCAAATCTTGCTTCCTAGCTCACACAAAAATCCTACACTACTTTTTTCCTTACTCTCAAAAGGGGAATTTATTGGCTAAGAAAGAGCATTTCGGTCTGTGCATCCACCCACTTCCTATTAGCCTGGTACCCTCCTCCTGGAAAGGTGTGGCGCTCAGGCTTCATTCAGTTAAAATTTGTTTTCCCTGCCAAGTGTGCAGTGCGCACTGTGTCTGCAGTTACGCTGCGTATTAACGTTTCTGAAGAGCTGCTTTCATCCACTGTGTGGGGCTGCATTTAGGCTCTGCCAGATGGAAGTACTTTAAATATCAAGAAAGAGATATGGGTGGGATGGGAACAGCTTTCCAACGTGAAGATCTACTGAGTGCTAGCTGAGGGCAGAAAGGCTTTCTGGGGGAGGTGGGGAGATACTCTCGGGCCAACTTTATGCCTAGAGTCAGTGAATTAGGGTTAGCCCTTGTTCTGAAGAACATTTACTGTGGGATAACAGACAGGCAAGTCCTGCATCAGCAAAAGGAGTTTTTTCTTTTGGGGCTTTGCGGGCAGAGAAGCAGTGAGAGATCCACGTGGAGGGGACCCTGGGGCTCTTGGTGCCCCGGGAGCGGGAGCACGGCAGTGCAGGAAGGGCTCTGTGCCAGGATGGTGGGGGTTTAGTGTACAATGTGGAAATTAATTGGGTCTGGTGAATCTCTTCGTGATCGCAGGAGTTGTATAAAGCATTCTGTAATCCAAATGGATTGGATTGTGTTTATCGAACATTAGATGTTCCAGTTACAAGTGTGATAGCACACCTGTTTCTAAAGGCCATCCCATCATTTACAGACACTAATCAATTAAGTTTTGTGACAGTCGTTTGAAGCAGGAATTATTGACAGTCCCATTTCACCGGTGGGGAGAGTAAGGCACAGAGGAGCCGAAACGCTTGTTTGGGTTTTAACACAGTAGAACATGTTTCATTATTGTGTTAGTTGCACATGTAGTTAGTCAGCAGGGTCAAGGTTTCAAGGTGTATCTGTTCCCAGGGCAGGCAAATATTGTGGGCTAGGCTGGGAACTGGGTCAGGTCTGGCTGGCACCCAGCCGGCTCAGCGCGGAGCAGGACAGGCGCTCGGCTGGTGCTGGTGCGCGGCTGCGGGGAGCGCAGCCGCAGCGGCACAGGGCTTCTCGGGGTGGGAGATCAGGGTGGGGTGTGCACACGGGTGTTTGATCTTCCCACCACGCCGAGGCTCCTCGCTGTGGGATGTTCCTGCGCTGCAGGGCTGAGGCAGCAGTCGAGGAACCTGACAAAGGCCAAAAAATAAATTGCTGCAAGGAAACCCGTGCATTCTGATTCGTGTCCACCTCAGGGGCGTTTCGGTAAAGGACTAGTCTACCAGCCATATGCCGTTGTCTTGAAGAAAAAAGCAGAAATTATCAAAGGCGTGGTAAAGGATAATACGCTAATTGGTGTCCTAGGCAGAATAGCAGGGATGCTCTCTGCGGCGTGGATCAAGCATTCTGTGTTGCTCATTTCCAGATTGCAGCAAGGCAAACTTCCCTTTTTCTGTATTTTGCAGCACCTGAAATGTTCAACTCCACAAAACCCCCTGGCTATTCCTTTGCTGTGGACTGGTGGTCATTGGGAATCACTGCCTACGAGCTGCTCAGGACCCGGGTACTGTGCGTGTGGCTCCTGTCCCCGTCCGTCTGTCTCTTTCCTTAAACAGTCTGTTGGAAGGGTTAAAGCTTTATAATAAGCATGAAAGGGCCAAGCCAAATTTAAGACTTTAAGGGTTATTACAGCATAGGAAGCAGAAGCTGTATCTTCAGCAGGGTTCTTGTGGTCACAGCTAAGAGCTCAGAGAAACTGTCGCAATACAGAATAGTGCGTTGTGACAGTTCCCCGCTGCGCCCAAGGACCTCTGGTTTGGCATAAGCTGGGCAAGGCAAATGAGTGACAACTCCTGAAGTTCGGGCTGCAATATGATTTACTTTGAGCTCCCATCCTGCAAGGAAAAAAGAAAACTAGAAAAAAACCTCATTGCTATTGTAATAAGATTAAGCAGTTTGAGCAAAAGCAAACTGCAATATGTAAATTATTAATAAAGCACAATCCCTGCCTGTCATGTCAGTGTTCTGCTTCTAACTCAGGTAAGGTTGGGGGCCTTGTAGACAGACAATTAGATTAGTGTTTTGGAACTGTTGTGTAAAAAAAGTGGGACAAAATTGTTTAAATTATATTCTTCTAAGCCAAAGGTTGTCTAAAATCTTGTGAGGCTAGGAAACCTCTTTCAGTACGAGTATGCAAAACACGTTTTTAAGAAACTGTCATAAATCTTTGCAGAGTGCATAAAAAAATGTTTTGATGAATATATTTTAAAGAACAGTTTTTCAAATGAACTTGTGTATCTCAAATTGTGAGTGGTCAAGTTAGCACACATTAAGGAGACGTGGTTGTCTGACCTGTTGGGTAACTGAAGCCACATGCCCCCTGTAAAATATTTGAGTTTTCCATTTGTAATGTTACATGAATGACAGTACTGTTCATCACATTGACTTTTGATTTGATGGCACTGTTTCCAAAGATGGGAGCAGAAATGCTGTTAGGTGCTCAAACCTGATGTGACAGCCATGATAAGATGGTGGCACCAGTGGTAGTTACCGCATGGGGGGCGTGAGGTGAGACGTTGAGGTCCGTCTAGTGTCGGTACACGTTAAGCACAATGCACCTGATTTGATCTCACAATTTGTAGCTACTATTTTTTAAATGTACTTTTAACACCCTCATCTCCCCTGAAATAGCCTAGAAATCTGCAGATCCAAAATCTTTCAAAATGGAAACACTTTGTCATTGTCAATTCTCTTTCTGCGTAAGGCAGTAGTATTGTTGCCGTTGGGGGTCAGACGTGGAGGTGACCTCACCTGCACAGAAACACTGGCTGTACGTAGCGCCCCGTTCTAGGCTTGGTTCCCCGGGTGCTGGGCCGGTGCTGGGCTGGCCGGGCGCTGCGCCT